GCTTACATGTTGCTGATGAGTCCAACATGGCGGCTGAAATGGCCGAGTTGGAGATCTGACGTTATCCTGGAAATGCCAGGTCAAAAGTGTGGGAATATTTGGGTTTTTATCAAGTGAAGGAAGGGTCCAAAACAAAAGAAAACTTGGATATGACGAAGGTAATCTGTAGGCTCTGCAGAAAGCAGTACGCCAACAAAGGTTTGTGGCACGTGTGTTTTGTTGATTTCGCGTCAGTCTCATGGAATGCTTATTGGTAGATTTTTCCGATTATAATCGATGATCAATCGGTTGGGGCAATCCGATTTTCCGATGATCGATTGTGAAATTTCAACCGATTCCCACCACTATCTTCTACATAATCTTTAGCACCTCAAAAGAGGAACATTTGAAGGATCAAAACATAGCACGTCTGTGATCTGTAAGAGATAGCTACATGTTGTCTACCTGAGGTCGTGCTGGCATCTCACATCTTGTCGCTACCCCTGATGCAGACGGAGGCGGTGTTTCGTATGACTTGCTTGGACATCTGTCCTCTGACGTGTCCATGGACTGTTCTTGACTTGCAGAGGTTCCTGAATCTTAACAACAAGACCCGCTAACATTGACTCCATAAACTTCACCTTGTTAATCACAGTGTAACATTTGGTTTACGCATCAATGTTACTCATAAAAAAGGGACACTACTCTTCATATAACCCTAAAACAAAGCCCACTGTCTGACAAATGATATAACAAAGGTCAAGAGTTTGTTCTACGAGTGTCTGATCTGATTTGAATCGAGTCTGTATCTCACTGACAAAAGACATTAATGAAGTTCTTCTCGTGAAAGGTTGGGAGAACTTGAAAAACACGTGGAAACATTTTCGCCAGCGGCTCGCGTCCCACTGCATTTCTCGTTATCCCGACCGATAAGTCGAAAGAAACACGGTAGATGTTCCCCATTTCTTCATTCTAGTTATCTGAGAATATAACAGAAATTTAGAAATACGTGCTGTTAGCAAGTGCTTTCTAAATTCCTCAGTTGTTCTGGAATAACTACTGTCCACAGTGTGTTTTATGACAGAATAACACAACACTTGGCTTCTTCATACGCTTTGTAGATGGTATACATATGAAGTTAACATGGACGGGAGACAATATAACACAGTATTCTGTATTTTATACACTGATAAAACATAGCTATCTTTAGCCAATCAGAGAGCGCACAAAATCCAAAAATGTTATCTACACATTTATTGTACTTTACAAACCTGCAGTGGGTTTGAACATCCGGCACATGATAAAGTTGTATGTATCCAGCAGATAGTCAATAATAAGCATAATACGACTATGATTGAACAGGAACGTCAGCAAAGTATTTTTCGTCGTATCTCTGTAGTGAACCTCGAATTGAAGGGAGTACTCGCTCTCTCGAGCTGATGCCGAGGATCTCCTTGGTAACAAGACTTCCGTGAAGATACATGAATCAGAATCGTCCAGGTGTAAAACTTCAAGAAAAGCAAAAGAAGATAAGGTCTCAACTATTTTAGTTAGAAATGTAAATTACTTTAACCTTAATGAAGCTTTACATGATAAAAACGAATCTGGACACAATAATGTACCCCATTCCTGTCAACAAGAGCACAAAACAGTGAAATTTCATGAGAACCGACCTATTAATACAAAAATTATATGAGCTATCTTTTGTAAGCCTTGCGAGCCTTTAAACACCAACAACTCGTGCACTTGAAAAGCAGCGATACACTTCACCTATTAAAATTTGTCATAACAGCAATAATATCACCTAAGAATATGACCCATTCAGAATTCTCACCCTAAACTGTGGACGAAAACATGTCTACATGAGAAAGCAATGCAAAAGCTCGAGGATATGATACGAGGTCTGCATAACTTGCAGCATTCGCCCTTTTTCACTAAAGAAATTAGCAAAGCGACGTACAAGTAGGCCTTGATCCTCCTGGCTGGTATATCACAGTCGTTAAGAGGTATTACTGTTACAAGATTTGTAGGGCTTATCCCAAAGCAAAATTAATGATGGCACTTCTTCGATACCAGGGAAACGCGCTCACATAAATTATTACTCTTTCTCCATCATGATTTGACAAGCTATGTGAAAATTATTCCCAACAGTATTGCTTATATGCCCAGCAGACAAATATGCAAATAGTAGTTACCTTTCTGTCTGGTATCTTCAAAGATGACCTCTTCAGACACCAAATCGATAGTTTTCGACCAATCAGAGAAAGATTCAAACTCAAATTTGGATTTGATGAAGTCTATCTTGGCCAAAGATGGCAGCTGGGTGTGGTCTGCATTTTCATCTGGGTGCTCAAACAGTTGAATAGGGAGCAACTCCAAACTGACATTGACAAGCTCAATACTCATTCGCAGGCTTGTCCATACTTCCTCTGCCACTGGGGGCTGAAAAGATAGGATGTTACTTGTGTATGGCACAAATCAAAAACACTGTGATTTCACGTTGCAAGTACATGTACATGCACATGCAAATCTGGGCCAATGAAACGACATTACTGGCTGAAACAGCACGCGATAAGTGCTAAAATATCCCAAACTTAGAAGTTTAGAGAAAAGGGTATTAAAGATCAATCATGCATTCTGAATTGGCTAGCTAACAGGAGACGAACTACAAAAGCAACAATTTAGGACATTACGAAGACGCCAGTTTTCATCTTTGTCTACTAGATATGTCAATAGGCCATTCCGAAATTGCGCAGGGAACTGGGGCAAGTTTCAAATTTTAACTGATCGATAAACTGACACGACCACATGAAAGAATACGTTGAGATGATTTGACCAGGTTATATACCTTGAAACATGGTTGAAAATCCATATAAAAGTCTCTAATGTTGAGACAGCATCACCCCCAAAACCATATAAACTCTTAAAATTTTTTATCAGTTTTGTGACATCTATAAAATCCCGTCATTAGCCTACCATTTGAAAGAAGCTGAGATAAAAATCACGTATGTTTGCCAATTGTTAAGAGTATCACAGAATCATGAAAAATTTCAAGAGTTTATAAATTATGGTTTTAGGGGACGCTGTCTCAACATGTGTCAAGGTCTACAACTTGGTGTCTGTTTACCCTAAAAGCATCAAACTTGGTCACATGACTACTCTCAACGTGATCTTTCATGTGGTGCTGTCAGTTTAGCGATTGGTTTAACATTTGAAATTCGCCCTAGTTCCCCGCGCAATTTCCAAATGGCCAAAAATGGAAACGTGATACTGTTAACTACTGAGGTATTATTGTGGTTTCCGCTTTGAGGAGTTAGTGCACTCCATTGCATCTCAGCGATTTCCAGTGCATCTCATCCCAACAAACCTAAATTTCCTTTTTGAACATCTTACCCTTTCCGAAATCCTATCTGAATACTAACTATATATGCCACCACAGAGATCTAACTTGTCAACTATACTAATTAGTCACTATAGCTATTAAAATGAATGCTTCTCAACGAAGTAAAAACACATCACGATGTATTGAACGGTAGCAGACCAAAGATGAAGACCGAAGCAGAAAAATGGTTTTACAATCACCTTTCCTAGGGGATCTTGGATGACAGATGATGGTCTCTCAAATTCTTCAAGAGGCTCTCCAAAGTTTTCTCCCAGCATTCCAAGGATGAAGCAGTATTGGGAATAATCCAAAGATGCACAAACCGAAGACAGCCGGCCACTGAAGTTGAAGTCTGGAACTGAACATATTGTCTCACATTAGCTCTGTTACTATACAAAGACGTATCTGTCGTTGTTGCAGAAACATCACCACTACAGCAGTAAAGGTATCAAGCCGCCTTTAACTTTACATATCAGATTTTTCACAGGAACGTATCCATATGGGAAGTTTGACTTCACTAGTCTCATTTGGTTTCAGGTTTTTCAGTAGATTACAACGGAGAGGTTTTTCATTTCATATTCACCACTTGGTTGAGCTATTGTTTGTCGTGGTGGTGGTGTTGATATTGCAACTGGACCGTGTAATATTACAAATTAATCTTGTGTTTTTACAAACAACATTTGGGCTCAAAATCGAAAGTGAATCCATTTCAAATTTGCGAGAAGGGGTATCAAAAGCGTGATGGAGGTCTGGAGAAACGCCAGGTGAAAGAAGGTAAACAATTTTCATTTGATAATAAGAAGTATCAGCACATGTATCAGCTCCACAAAATAATGTTTACCCGCTCTACTAAATGCCCAATCCAAGTTGCGCTCCACTGTCAAATTCAGTCTGCACTTCTCCTTAAGCAGCTTTAAGCCCTGCAATCAAGAAAATACAATGTACCAAGGTTTCTGTCGATTCTGAAAGACAGAGACACAGATATACAGACAGGAAGGCAGGCAGATAGGCATGCCCAGGCAAGCAGGCAGGCAGACAGACAGACAGGCAGACAGACAGACACACACACACACACACACACACACAGAGACAGACCGGCAGGCAAACAGGCAGAGAGACACACAAACAGACAGAGACAGAAAGACAGACAGACAGACAGACAAACAGACAGACAGGCGGGCAGGCTGGCAGGCAGGCAGACAGACAAACAGACAGGCAGACAGGCAGGCAGGCAGGCAGGCAGGCACGCACACAATTAAGTCAATAGTTCTTACTCCGGGTGACTTGTCTTTTTCTTTATGTTTCTTGTGTTTTGAACGCTTATGTTTGTGTTTTGAGCCNACAGACAGACAAACCTGGCTTTTGTAAGAGAATTCAGAGGTAGACTGCTGATTGTTTCCCTGAACTCTTGTGGCTGTGAAAAGATCCATGTCCATCATATCAATGTGCATGCAGTCTATCAAACAGAGATGACGTGAGCCAGTAGGTCCTAAAAGCAAAAAGGTGAAAGTTGCGAATATGACAATGTTTGAAGAAACAAAAAAAAACATCAGTGCACGACTGAACGCGTTTATTACTTCATAGTAATATCACAGCATTGTTTTAAAAGCCCCCCTGAAATGTGAGTATGCTGAGTCTGAGTGTAAAATGCATTTGGCGCCATTCAAAAAGACTTACCAGAATCTGGCTGGGATCGTTGCCTTTGCCTGCTTTTAGAATGTGCCACTGTACCAGGAGAGCCCTCCCACAGAAATCCATTAGCAACAGTGAGGTTACCAAGATCAGCTACCAGCATGTGCGAGGACTTTGCAGAGCGCGGGACTAAGATCACAGGATTACCAGCTTTGATGTCAAGTTCTACTCGAGTTCCTCTACCAAACACCCATGAAACCTGTAAGGACAACCAAACCATCAACCTGACTAGCAAGCAGGCATTTTCTATGTGGTGTATCAAATACGATTGCTATACCTCCCAATTCAAATTCGTTTTCCAATTGGAGGAGAACGTGTCGTGACCATGGACCAAAACAAACTAACTCACTAGAGTGAACAAAACTCACTAGTTCGCTAGCGAAACAACAACTTGAACTTTCGCCTCACAGGTGATCCGGTCGAGCACCTTGAAACAGGAGCAAATCTGTGTGCCAGTCGGCGTCAAGAAATTAATTTTTTCGCAGTTTGTTCTATTTTTGGGTTGGGAGGTATAGCAAAACGGGAAACAAAACTCACTGTTTCTCTTGGGGCCAATCATTAAGTGCTTATTAAACCTCTCAATGTGTCAATGAGCAGAACTTGCCTCGTTTCCTTCTGAAGCGGCCCTCATCCTGCCCAACACCTCCTGGAGCTGTAGATAATGTTGAAAGAACACCACCAGCTCGGTCTGGAATCGCTTGGTGTGCACATACTGCACAGATGACATGCGTAACACGAGACGCATGTCATGTTTCCTTGACAAGTTAGGATCTGGAGCGCCATACTTGAAGAAATCAAAACTCAGAGCTTCCTCTCCAAATGTTGTAAACCTGATGATAATAATATCCAGACAATGAAGTGAAATTGTACCTTGGATCTATTCCTGTCAAGCTACTATCTGCGTCCTCGTTACTGAGACGCCCTCACCCTTTTACAATAACAATCTAATAAACTTCTGATAAGACAGAAATTAAGAAGTGTCTCAACTAATTTTGACAAGGAATGTGGCTAAAGATTACGCCATTGGATTCAACTCACTTTTCTCGGTACAAAGTTCCATGTGGAGACATGTCTGTCACTGACATGCTGGTCAGTCTACCATTGGCAGCAAAGTTTCCATCGTGCATGTGGATTTGTGTAAAAAGACCAAAAGCTCTGACTTTGGCTATGGGGTATCTTGTCTTGCTTAATGTCAGGGTCAAAGCTGACACTTGAAATTTGACATCCGTGTTGATGCCTTCATTCTCTGACTGTTCGGAACCTTTTCAAATAGAAAAACAAGACAAGTATATATCACGCTCAAGAACATACATCATGCACAAAGAGTTAAATTAAAAGTCAATTCCTAATTTCGGTACACTGTACAACCCTGATGCAGTAAACAATTTTGGTTCCTCAATTTTGTTTGTTGTGCAAAGTATCCGATGTTTACAGTAAAAGCAACTGTATGTAAATTTAACAAATTTTGTACTTGTTGGCAACTGCCTGGTAAATTTAACTTTCCGGTTACATTAATTACCTGGCACTTCACAGCACCATGCATAGTCGATTGTAGTGTAGACTGGATTTGTTTCTCAGTAGCCCCGAGTTCAAATCCTCGGCCACGCTTGTAAATAGCCAACTGGTTTGCCTCCGGCCAGTTGGGATTCTTAACAATGTTATGTTCAATTTGAATTATTTGTCTCAGTTGTTTTGCTCGGCCTCACTAGCACTTGTGCTATAAACATTGCCAAGGGTAAATAAAGGTTATATTTATTTTATTTTAGTTATTTATTTGTAGTATACAATAAAGTGAAAGTGCGTGTGTTTAGTACCGGAATGAAAACATTTCTTCAGATGAAGTGTAAAGTGAGTGAATTTGCAATACTGACTTTTTCCATGACCGCAAAGAAACGTGTTCGCAAATAGGAACCCACTATTAGGGTTTATCATATTCAACAAAACGTCACTATATCTTAAACCAACTTTAATGCACTGGGGTTTTACTCACTTGTAGTTTCAAAATACCCTGTAACTGCTTTTCACATTCTACAGCTTAGTGGTAGTCGCCGTACACAAAACGCTGCAGATTCCACTAAACTAAAAGGTGAAGGCCTTACTTAAAACTCCAATCGTTGAATAGAAGCTGTCAACTGAACTGGTAATACTCTTCTATCTACCTTCAATTTGACTCAGCTGCACGTTGTCATTAACAGTGTCATTCCATGGATTAGGATGTGTAGTTGTGGTGTTTGGACTTGTCGGTTGGGAGGGAGGGGGCTGCTGTGGCACTCCAATTCCAAAGAACTCTAAAACAATCACCCAGGTTTGCAGATTCAAATTTGCTTCCAGTGAGTTGAAGTCTACATTGATGCAACGGTTCACCTGCAAAAGCAATCACAAAAATTGCTTATCTATGGTAAATTCTTCAAGCAAGCTCACTAATTTTATAATTCAAAGTCTCTCTCGATAGCACAATTTAGTGAAGCTCTAAACATTATTGTTGCCTGCGGCAAAGGTCTGGAATTAATGGTGTAAAAGCTCATCATCTTATAATTACCAGCCATACACATACACAACACACCACACAACATATTTACCTTTAACTCGAGATCGTGACACCTACCGAATTATAACTAGTAGTAAACTCTTCATCTTTCTTGTCAATTAAACGTACATTAATAAGCACAAGGTTATTATCTTTCTTCTCTGTCATCACAGAGCTTGAAGTTCTTAAGTCCTCCATTGAGGAATCGCTGTCTGTGCTGACATTCACAGAAGGCATAGAAGGAAATTTCTGATTCTTGAGCAGCGGTCGTAGTGGAGCCAACGAACGAAATGGCCCCTGCCTAGGAGACGCAGACAGACAGTGTGGCAGAGAAGAGGAAAAATTTGCGTGCAGACCAGCTTTAGAAACAACAGGGCACGATGAGGAAAGGCTTGAAGGATATGCAGAGAGGGAGCGTTCCCGTAAGTGAGGCCGACGAGGAGCCGAGGAAGAAATGAGATGCCGATATGGAGATTCTGGCTCTTGAAGGAGATCTTCAACAAGGAGACCACCAAGCGATACGTCAAACTGAGTCCTTGTGGGTTTAGTGTGTTCATAATTCAGAGCGAAGTCATAAAACATTATGTCTACAAAATCGCGGTCCTCTTTGTTGAGTTCACCACGAAGCTTGATGCTGAAGTGTGGCACTTCAAATTGTGCTCTTATTGGAGTTGGATCCTCGGATTCAGTTTCAAATTCAGCAGAGGATTCGTTTGACATCTCAATGTCGACATTTTCACCGAATGTAACATTTGGTATAAATGACACGTGCTTCTCTGGCAAGACCTTTTCTGGAATGCAAGCTTCCAAATTGGATGCTGATGAACTGGAAAAAATATACGGAATTTATGAGCCAGTGCTATACCAAAAAATACATTTATGAGCAAACAATCTAAAAAAAATAGACTAGCACAACTCTTAAGATTACTAAGTAGCTTCCAGCTAAAATCGTTTGGACATGTGATACTGTTCAACCCAGTTTGTGTTTCCCTTTGTCTGATATGCATTCCCATGATCTTTCCTAACCTCTTCCAACCTCTCTCTCTCTCTCCTTTATTTCGCTCCGCCGTTTTTCCACCCTGCACCCCGACTAACTGAACGCCTGGAGGATGATAGATCTATCAAGTCTACCTGTCAAATTCTGAACAGGATCATCACCTAATGGCAACGAAAACTGCATGTACTCTACCTTGCAGCAGAATGAAGTGTAAAGAAGATTTTTCTGTCCCAGCAGTTTGTGCAATCACGTAACCAACACAGAAAGGGCTACTTTCAGTGCAATGTCCCAGGTTAGAAACACTGCTCGCCATTAAACTAATTTCAGAGGATATTTGCATAATCAGCTTGCAGTATCTCAATCCCTCACAAAAAGCATCACAGTGTACACGGAAAAGTAATTAAGCATACATAACTTGTCCTACCTTGGAGAAAGGGTGCTTGGTGACTGAGAAGTGGGACTAGCCACAGATGAGGTTTGCATTCCTGCCGGAGGAGGAATAAGTACTGTTTCTTTACTGCCACCGATGTTGTCAATGGTACCTAGCAGCTGATGGTATGAGTGAGTAGACAGTTCAAGTTGCAGGGGAGTGGCAACTTTTCCCGAGATGTGAATTGTTGGTTTTTTCAAGTTTAGTGGTACACCAAATGAGCCAGCGTCTTCAGATCGACGATCAATCACAAGTTCAAATGCTGTCTTGTGAAGAATATGCATGTTGGTGGATCTTGGTGAATGCTGGATGTTTCTGCCTGAAGATGACTCTGCATTGGATGAAGATGAAGTCCTTCCTGCTCCTCCATTGTCCACTGTCAAACAGTACAAGCTCATGCCCTTTATTTCCACAAACACTCGATCAATGTCGTGCTCGACACCTGTAAGATGTCCTGTATCACTTTGTTCTTCCACAACTTCTATCAAGTGTGTGTTCTTTATTGTAATCTGACCCAAACGAGCAACAAGCATGTCTGTACTCGTTGACGACTTTGGTAACTGAACTACAGGCGAGTCTACAGTAACACAAATGTAAACTCGTCTGCTGGGCTTCAGAGGAACATTATCAACAAAGTCACAGCTGTCTTGAAGAACATCACTGTCACTTTCAAACAAGATGCTTCCTTGGCGACTGCCAAGACTTCTTTCCTCTTGCCCAGCAGTGGTAACAAATGAGGACGAAAGGTAATCAAGGCCTTCTGCCAGTGCCCTCTTCTTACTCACAAGACCCATGGCAACATTGCTTGCAGCTTGGCGTAAACTTTCTCCAAACTGGGCGGCATAGTCAGCATAATCCCCTGCTGATAACAAAAGTTCAGAAAGAAACCTGTGCGTGTGAGTATACTGCGCAGAAGCCATATGAACATTCAACTGAATATTCCTTGCAATTTCCTCAGTGTCCGTGGTTAGCTCAGTGGTCGATTCTAAAATAATCTTTGAACATTGTCCGCCCTTCTTGGGAATCAATAATGTGAATATAAATGCTTTGCGATCACTTGGGCCATCTTGCATGTCTTCTGGTAATGACCACAAAAACGAAGAATCTCTTATAGAACGATCTCCAGCAGATAAACTTCCACATGTGTACACAAAACGATGCAGCGAGCCTTCTGGAGTGAGATCTGCAATTCTGAGACCTCCAAGAGAGCCATCAATACGCTGACTTTCTCCAACAGATGCATTCAGCTGAACTTCACTAATAGACACCTCTGCAACTTTTCGCACCGATTTCACTCCTTCGAGCTTAATACTTCTTATGACAAGAACACTGATGGATCTAAATGATGCAGTCACTTCTGTGACATCTGACAACTGCTCCTGAAAGACGAAAATGCAAACGAGTAAGATAATAATGATGGCGCGAAAAAGGTGGTGGGGGAGGAGTGAGTGTGATAGAGCATGACAACACAATGTAATTCATCCAATACAGTTTTAGCCACTTTCTAACAAAGAGGCGTTTTACTTGCTGCAGTGCNTTATTTATTATTAATTAATTATTAATTTATGCATATATTTTGGCGACTAAAATTTTTCACTGGCGACCAAACCTGAACAGTCAGTGGCCAAATGGCCACCAAGGAAAAAAGTTAACTTGGAGGGTTGGGTATGTAGAACATTTACAACATTGCTAGTATACTCTGCAACTTACTTCGTGATGGAGTAAAACCAGTTTCACTGGAAGATTTTGCCAGGTCAGGTTTACACGAGGAGAAAAGCAATTCATAGTTAGGTCCAAAGCTTTGTAATGCATCAACAAGGTGCACTCCATGGATGGCAAATGATGTCGATGAATCATATGGTCTCTTCATGTAGTTTGCCTTAACGCCTAGCACCTGTAGTTCAGCGATCAAGCAACCTGTGCAATGCGACCATGACATTCGTAAATCAATGAATCAATGTGAAAAGTCATTAAAATGATAGAAATTCCGAAATCCCAGACTATATTATTTGAGAACAAATTCATTTGAGGGCCAATTCTGAAACATGTGTCTGTCAGTCGTGCTAATTGTCCAAAAATTATGACCAAGCCAAAACAAACAACTACAAATATTATAACCCTTTCGCTTTTGCTTTTTTTTTTTTTTTTTTTTTTTTTGACTTTTTTTACTTCTAAGCTTTTCTTCTTCTATCCTTCCTAGAGTACGACATAATTTTTATAGTTTCTTGACAAGTAGTTTCTTTGAATGCGATACCGGTAAGTTATTTCGATAACAATCCAATCTGAAGATTATTATTTTGCCTCTTCAAGTACACTATTACTTTAGGTACCACTAATATAACATATCTCGATCTTCAGCTATTTCCAAATTGTATGCAACTTTCATTTATCATAGAAAATCTCCAGGAATACCTCTTACATAGGTTGCAGGCAATAAAAAGCATGACCGCCAAACTGAATTAAAGATTTGCAGAAGTTTGCAGAAGTAACTGCTGCAGATAAGACACTAAGACTTGCAATAAGTAAGCCTTACCCATGCTGTGAACACCCAGGGAAACCTTGTCGATGCTGAGCTCAACAAGCAACATTTTGGATTCTTCCATGAGTTCTTTTGTTTTATCTTCTAAAGTGGTGTCCACAGCTGATCTGCTGATACTCCTACAAGAACATCAACCAAAACAAAATTTAAAAGGCATTCCTAGGAAAAGCCTTACAGCCATATTTATCATTCTCACTATAACGCACAGGGCCTGCCAACTCCACGTGAGACACATACATGGTATTATCTCTTTGAGTGTTTTCAGACTTTCCGAGATAACAAGACTCCTAAAGATGCCCTTTTAATTGAAAAAGACGAGCTGCCCTTGTGGCTTTTCTCTTCAAAATTGGTTAGTTTTGGAACACTCTTATCTTGAACAACTTTAAAGTGGCGCATTTATGCTTTACAAGCTCAGATTTGGAAGCTGCAAACTTGGACAATGCATGTAGCTGCAGTGTCAAAGTAGATTCAACAGAAGTTAAAAACTTTTAACGCAATGTTCCGAAAAACATAAACATCATAAATATAAATTTTTGAACTTTTCCCCAGCAAACACGTTAGCTCTTTGAAATTAAATTTTTCTACGTGTCTTGATTGTCCAAGAAATCTATTGTGTTTCTCCCCAATCATGAACTGACATGTTCAATTACCTGGTTGGTGAGTCCTTAACCATCTCTGGAATTGTCACATTGCTGCTGTACAAGCTGTAGTACAGGTCGTCCAAACTGCCATGGCTGTCCACCCCTTAACATAATTATAACAACATCTTACCACTAACCATTTCGTTGATAAAGTGCCAAAGGTCAAAATTTCAAAACTTCTATTCTCCCTCGTATGCCGCAAAGTACCTTCACTGATTCGAAACTTTAAAATGAAAGCACTACATAACCAAAACTTCTGACCTTCTTGTCTCCGGGGATTCCAAGGAAATACATTGAAAAGGAAAAAATATTTTGCACAAGGTTATAATCCCATTGCACACGAAACACTACAGTTCTTTTCCAACTGATAGCATACTCAAAGTCCTCCATTTCAGTGGTTACATATCTAATATGGCAGAGACTGAAATATAGCCATTGCAGTTGAAGGAAATGGCAGTGGAGGAAATAACCGAGCAATTCAATTAAAACATTGTGACGTCTATTAGTACTAAAAATATTTACGTTTCTATCAAATGACTTACTTTCTCGAGGGGGCAGTGGAGTAGAACTAGCAACAATCCTTTCTTGTTTCACTAGTGGAGTGGGGTTGGACGTTTTAGGTTTACGCATCTGTTTTACACACTTTGTCAAAGCTTGCAGCTAAAGAACAAATTCAAGATGTTTAGTCTGTGTATGTATTTAAAAATAGATACCACACTATGTCAAGCAAGGCAACATCTGCTTTGTCCAACACTGAGCCAGAATCATATTCACACGTCAATATGGACTAAAGCATTTCTCTCTTTAGAATAGCATATCTAATTACTAGCCAATCAGCTGTATTTTATTGGCAATCTGTGAATCTGAATCTGATTGGTTCTTGTAGATTTAGTGCTGTAATATTTTAGTAAGAGTGGATTTAGAGTTTGTTAAACAGCAAACGGTAGTCGGACCAAGGACTTGAACTCTGGAGACCAAGTAGAGTAAAAACCCAACAACACTCATAAAATGAACATTATTTTCATCTACAAATCCTGTAGAAACACCCTTACGAGGACACAGCCAGTTGCAACCGCTTACCTTGTGTTCATTTATGTGCAATACCAAGCTGGGTAGTTTGGCAGAAAACGTTACTGCAGGGTACCGCGGATCAGCTGTAAACAGTAATCTCCTGCAAAGTAACAAATCACATCTTACTAATTCATAACACTTTATTAAAAACGGAGGTATAAACTTTTTACAGTACGGTAGTTCTAGCGTTTCAAAAACAAAACGAGCTAATCTTCCATGTCTTATAAATTATAAGCAATTAACAAAATTACTCAATATGCTGAGCTTTTCATGTCTTTCTCAACAAACTGTATCTTTGGAAAACAATGGAGAATTACTTCCCTTCTACCCTTTGAGAAAGTGAAAATTATGGCTGCCAAGGTCAACCTCGAAGTAACAAAACACGCCCAAAACATGCAAAAAATGGAGCGTGTCAAAGCCGACGGTTTTGTCGAATTCGTTCAACTCCAGATCTCCCATTTGACTGCAGGTTAAGAATTAGTAGAATGTGTAGCGCCAAGCATGTCTATCTGTTCTGTCTACATAATACAACAATTCGCCAAATTAAGTTTTTGTTCTCGTCTGCCTGCCCACAAAAATAGAACAACTTGAATCGTGGAGTACTGGTTGATTCTTTGCCTCAATGCTATGCCCAGAAAATTCAGGGTGATCTTTACTCACAATCCTTAACTGCATACCAACCTTTGAGGAAATCAAAGAAACCTCCTCACCTTTCCATCTGGATGGCTATTGTGAATTTATCTACCACATGAACATCACTTGTCATGGGTGGTTTGCTGGCAACTTCGGACCAGTTGTCCTTCACATTACAAACCACCATTTGTATGTCTGACAAATCCAGAGTGTACCTAAGAGACAAAATCAACAAATAATAATCCTTGAGGCGTCAAAAAAAAGTAATAACAGGAATAAAAATTGCTGTTTTTAGATACCTCTCATACATCATGTCAATCAGAGATTCACTACTTATTTCATTCACAAGTGCATCAGTTGAATCGGTGGTTGACAAAAACTCCTCTTCCTCTGCAGGTGGGGTGCTGGGTGGGGTCATAAAAGCGTCATCTGTATAATGTCCAAGAAACAAGAAAGTTTAAGTCTAACCTACAACCAACCAAAAGGGACAATTAACAGCACTCGTACCGCTAACCCTAGTTTGGACCCTCATCTCATCAATGCACAAAGACATCAAATTATTCAAATGTAACAAACGCAGACTTAATTTAAATGGGATGAAAGGCGGACAGATTATTACGTGAATGACACAGTGACTGCAGTTTCTTTGGGTAGTTAAATTACCTTCACCACTATAGGCTAGCTTTTATTATTGTTAACGGTTAAATCCTAAATATGTTCCATCCTATTCTTGCCTGTGTCACTGAAATACATGTGGGAAATACTGCTTTGTTTTTCCTTTAGGGCTATACAATGATCCACAGTGTTACCAACGTATATAGCGAAACATGTGAAATACCTTCCTTTTCTGTTTTAGTATCATGGCCCTCTGAAACGGTCTTCTTTCTGTTAAGCGCTTGGGTGTTTGCAAAGCTTAAGTGCCCAAAGTCTATCAAAACCTACCAAATAAAACAACAGTATTCACGAAGAGTTCATTCAGTTCTTTCTTTTGGTATTTCAGCTCCTTCATTGACATGACTAATCAATTCAACATCAGATCTAATTTATCTCTAGAATTGTATGTCAGGCAAGCAAGGAATACAGCAAATGGTCAGCAATGGAATAGTGCATTTACAGGCAACCATCAACTCATTTCCAAACAAACACAAGTAACAAGAATAAGCAGAGCTTCAAGCTGGCAGGCTTGTAACCATATGGTTATAATAGTACTTAGCAAGAGGGATATCGATAGCCGTATGAATAATGATTAACACATACCTAATTAATGTCTTTGGAGACTTCAGATTCTGACAGGTTTACCAGAATATAATCACTCTGATTTACTCTAGAAATAATTTTCATACTTACCACTGATGCTGTCCTATCCTGAAAACTCTCTGGAACAAGAAATCTTGGTGCAGAGATGTCCAATTGAATATCCCATCTCTTTGACTGGCCCTTGAACACATAACAAAATAAAACAAGATTCAATCGGGTACATAATTTTGGACAGACAAGCAGCCACAACTATTGCAAACATTTTTTTTTCCTGTATAGATAGAGTCCAGCAGAAGTCACTAATGAATTGCCCCTGGAAATATTTGAAACATTACTTGACATGGTAAAAAATAGCTAGTCCATAACAGTATTAGCACAGCATAGCATATACCACACCAGGAACTCCATGCCCTACGCTTTGCAACAAGTGTGAGCGTTCGTTGTGGTTGCAAGAAGATGCAGGAAACAGGGCCTACGGTAACAATGAGTACCCTTGGTACAATTTTCTATTTCCCTTTGCTCTATATATAAATATTAAAATATATTGGCATACACCAGAACAAAGAAAAATACCAAATTGTACCAAGGGTAACAACATACCGGTACATACAGATATATTTCCTTATTTTAATTACCACTTCTGATCCTTCCATCATGGCATCAAGCGTTTGGACAAGTTCAGCTCTGGTCTGGTTTTTAAGTGCTTCATATCTCACACGTGCCACTTCACGGAGCTGCCTCTCAATATGAAGGGCTTGAGTACCTTCCATTGATGCACGAGAAAAAAACTCTGAAATGTGATCCAGCACCACAGGATTGTAAACTACGTCCAGAGGTTGCGTTGTTACTGATAGCCTGGAGAACATAACACGTTTCAGTAATTGTTAATAATAATCAACGGTGTTATTTAAAGAGAGTTCAGTAAATAAACACTTTCAACAAAAAAAGCAATCATGCAACCACAAACACCTTCAGAAAGCTTGAATCAAAATATAGCTACATATCCTTTTCTACCCTCGAGCAGTGAGTGAGAAAAACAATTTTACCTTCCTCCATTTCTGAGATGATAGAAAGTATACTTTAATTGCTAACATATGCACTTGTATCCAAGAAAACAACTCCAGAGTACCTGTACTAAGTGTGAGTAAGACATACCTGTAACCAACTTTGCTTGCAGGTGGTAGAGATTCAAACTTCATTTCAAATACTGGTTCACTCATATCTTGTAAAATATTAAGTCCCAAACTTGCAGTTGACATCATCATTGCTCCCACTGTACCTTTTGTTACTGTAGCCTGTTGTTTCTTGGTATTCAGGACTCTCTGTAAGATAAGGGAATCATGATACAATGTTCTACAGTAACTGTACTATTAATGTTGTTTGTCCCATCTTCATTTAGTTTGTGTACTGCAATATACCGCAGAGTTCAGAAACCTTATTGTAATTTATTAATAAAGTGGCTTGGCCACACCATGGCAAGTTCCAACCATCTACCTCAATCAAGTCACTACGCAATCAAGAGATGAAAGAAAGAGGAGGGTAGAGGTGCCCAGTACTTCTCTGTCTACCGCTGATAATATGTACACTATTTTTCATAACCAGTATAACAGTTCCAGTTCCTTGATATCAGAATCTGTATGTGTAAACATTGTAGCCAAGAAAACCTGACTGCAAAGACCATTTAGAAAATAAATCATATACCTGTGACTCCCGACCTTGGGGACAAACCAAAGCTGGAAACAAAGTTCCTGTAGTCAGTGTATCTCCCACAAATAAAGCTCCTAGACTCATGCTAAACTCCCAAGTGCTTGAACGAGGCCGCATCTCAGAGTCCCATCTCAAATCAGAAAATTCGACTTCAATTACTGGCAACACAGTTGTTGTTTGTGAGGCAGTGTTTTCGTGCTTGGTGTTGACCAGTTTAAAGGAGCCTGCACCCAGTCTGAAGTTCAAGTGTGCAAAGACTTGGTCTCTGTTGAAGATGGATTCATTCAGATGACTGTCAGCAAGCTCTCCAAGAAACTCCTCTTCCTCTGCAAAACAATGGTTAACACAAATGAGTAAGCCATTTCAAGAAGAGCCATTCTGGATTTCCTATACTAAAAAGATATGATGAGACATAACAATGGTAAATCATGCATTTCAGAAAAGACATGAAGCTCCAGCACTGAACTTACATAATAATACAACTAAGCAGTACAGTTTTGTATAGACTTAAAGTCAATTAATTTGAAACAAAAATGTTTTATTCTTTCCTTCAATATTTTTCTACCTTTTCAATACAGACATGATGATGGCACTACACACACAGCCACTGCTACAGTGCTCAGATGCACGACAAAAACTATTATTCCTTAAACCTAAGGCGGGCCTAATCACAATGTTCATTCCAAAGTACCACATACCAGCTGATATTAAGTCATTTAACCATTAACACTAGTCGAATGATACATCAACTAACCCTTTGTGGTGGGAGGTTCTCCTATAAACAACGGATTTGGATCATTCTCTTTTGGCATGCCAGCTGTCCCAGTTCCAGTAGTATCAGTTCCAGACCAACTGTACCACCCTGTTAGCCAGCCCTGCCAACTACCACCTTCTCCTCCCGTGGCTGGGGTAGCTTTCCCTAATTCCTTGTTCTCTTGTGGTTGAGAATCATCTGCATTACCTGTCTGCATCTGCTAAACAAAATAATGTTAACACCAGTGTTTCAAACTGATTCAAAGTAATAAAACTTGACTCATGTACCATCATTCTACCCTGATCTGAAAAGATATTTTAATGGAGTAACACTACATTAGCCAAGCCAAACACAAAGTTGACAATTAAAACCAAATTACAGAAGGGGGGCTTGAGCCGTAACATTTGATGTGTTTTTGTACATTTTTCTGGTGACTATAGAATGANGTTGGCTGTTATTTTCCTGTCCGTGTGTATTGGCATGTCCCATAATATCGTGACATCCTCGTTTTCTGTAACTGTTTCCAGCTCATGGTCATACCACTTTTATTATTATTATTATTATTATTATTATTATTATTATTATTATTATTATTATTATTATTATTATTATTATTATTGAGCTAAGTTGCAAATGTAAATAATCGATAAGAAGGCTATTCTCTGATAGTACTTATAGTTCTTGAGTGAAAGTGTCTTTAAGCTACATTTGTTCTTTGTATCTACTTGGACTAAAAACTAAATAAAACAACAGTTGAAGAACAATTAAAGAATTTCTTCACAAAGTAAGAAACCAAAATTGCTTATTCGGTGCTTGTCTAAATTTTGCAAAAATACCATGTAACATAAAAATGTTACCTGACTCAGTTCATTCTCAGCCCTTGTCTGTGCAATGGATCTTAAAACTACCAGCTCCTCAAATGTTAACTCGTCCTCAATTTGAGACTGTTTCTCCTAGAAATAGAGATAAACAGTTGAAGGTGCAGTAGTCTAAGGATTGCAACTTCTATAGACTAGATATTAATCTGTAGATAAGTTAAACACAAACTGATCTTCTGTTATGTTAATACATTGTAGCTGCGTGTATCGTGACACATCACTCCAGCAGTGACTTTCTTTGCCAGGTATACAAAATTAGTAATGAGAAATACATGCACTGGAGAAACCTGCCAATTGAAACAAAATTCCTTGTCATGTCAAACCACAAAAACAGGGGTTGTAATGGTATTGTCGGCTCAGACGAATCATCTAGGGTTTTACTGATCCCCAGGATTGGGCCAGGTTTTACCATTTAGTTAGTGGTCAACCTCACAAGTGCAGGCTTACATGTACGTGGAACATTGAAACTCTGTAATAACTGAATCTTCAAGTTTGTCAGCAGTCCTGAGTGGTTTTGTAGTTGTTGTTTTGAAGCCTTCTCCCACCCCATCCCACTCATGGATTTTCCACTAATCCTGATCAGTGTTGACAGGTGCCTGGAATGGGGGCTCAAATGGCTGGACTGAGCAGATTTTCCAGCCATGAGGGCAATATTCTATCTGGGTGCTGGCTGTGAATAGTAGAAGCCACTGGATACCCCATGCATCATAAAATAATGTTTAAAATTTCACTCTAAGCACTTTCAGCTTGTGTCACCAAATTGCAAAGAATAGAGTATGACAATCAGAACTTATACGTCAATTATGTAATACACCGTGACAGTGTATTTGCATAAACAATTTTCAACTGAGTACTATACAAAATTTATGCAATCGTGCATGTATCTCCTTACAAAAGAAATTATTCAGTTACCTTAAGCAAAGGTTCCACTGTGGCAGAGGTAAGATGTTGTGAATATATATTGACATACTTCACAATGTCATGAGCTCGTTTGACAGCAAAACTCCAGGTTTGATGGATATTTTTCTCTTTAATTGACTGCAAAATGCAATTTATTGAGAACTGCCACCATTCTCGTGCACTAACAAAACAAAAAAAAATAGGAATGATAGTAAGGAATTACTTGACAATGGAAAATAAAAAGTAACAATATACATCTACTGATAGTACAATAGTCTAGCTTGCAAAGAATGCTTTGTAGGTTATTGGTAAGCATGATATCTGACTGGTACACATTATGTATACAGGGCTGAATTCTATAGGGATGAATTCTATCAGAAATTGGGATTTTCCTGCACTTGTGATCATGACAAACTGATCAAAAGCTCCTCATAAATAATCTGTAATATCCTAAATCCAATTCAGCCAATGATTATCCATAATTAATCCTCTAAAAAGGAAGGCAACATGCTGCGAAAATCAGGTGCTAGGGCATATCAGTCACGTCCTGGGTGTCTAATGAACCACGTGAAGGCCAATGTTCTTTGGTTGAGCAGCAGTAAAGGCTTCCATTATGGATGAATGTCTCAGTGAGTTTTTTCTCAGCTTTTTCAGCTTACAAGTACATGTTCATGTGTACATCTCCACTTTCTTAGAATTACAGTAAGCTCCACAAAAGGAATAATTAATTAGCAAAAGATTAGAATTCAAATTGCAGTTCTCAAAACTGCAAAACTTAAAATATGTTTCAGATAGTCCTGGCAGTACTCAAGATGTCTTTGCCAGGTGTCAATGCATACTGATCATATGTGTCCTGCCCAACATGTTAGATAGCACACCTTATCACACAGTGCATCTACAGGATTACACAGATTTGGTGAATTGACATATTCACTTTACCTATAACACAAAACCCTTACTTTTTCTTGATTTGACATTTAGGCCTCCACTTAAGGTACCGACGCTGTCTGAAATGTCTTTCAAACCCATCCATCAGAGCAATTAACATCTTGTATTGTGTTTCCTCCAGTGACAATGGAATCTTTTCCACATGAACATCCACAACAAAACGTGGCATTTGTCGAGACCTCAGAGGCAAAGCACTAGCATTCCTCTTCATCTTAGCTTGTGCACTAGTTGGCTTTAATATGTACTGGTGCTTCTGATAAAATAGAACAAAAAGCACGTAGGACTGTTGTTAACTGTTGTTACTGGGAACGTATATTAGACTCTTTTGTCTTGTTGGCAGAAAAATGGATCACTGTATTGGGTAGGTTTGGTTGATCCAATGTTTTTTTTGCATCAAACTCAATTTCTCTGAATTCACATCTACATGCTGATATATTGATCAACATGTATACATGTACTACTAAATATACTATGAAAAGACAATTATTCTTGAGGATGTTTTTAGGTCACCCAGCTTCATATTCTATTCCTGTAGTTTTCTGACAACTACAAAGGGGTCATGGTAATTAGTTATAAGTTATCGTGATCTCTTTATGCAAAGTTGAAATTTGCTAATATGCAGCTAAAACTAACATGAATTTTTTTAACATGATACGGAAAGTACTCACGCTAAAGCCAGCTTTTCCCTGGTTTCTGTTAATCATTCGTTGAAGTGCACTCTGAAAGNAAACCAAAATGTAGATACATCATCATTATCCAGTGTTGAGTAATCATTTTAAGTCTGTTGATAAGCAGGTGCTGTGCAGTGTTAAGTGTCCGATATTTTCTTCATCAAAAACCCCCTAATAAAACTAAGAATTCACCTATTACCCCTAAGAACACAACACAAATTTTTTTTGTACAGTTCAGTTCAATTATTTTTTCACCTACCCAGTTTTCATTGGTAGACTGAGCTGAGAGTTTTGCAATGGTTATACCAAATGCAAAAGGCAATGACTCGTTGGTTGAGGCATCCTCATAGCGAAAATGTACATCGCTAATAACAAGCTAGAACAAAGAAAGAATAAAACTTAATAACATATAACTTACAGAACACTTTATTTAACCAGCTGGGAGACACATGCAGGTATGAACTTTTTTCAGTTCTAGCATTTCAAAAAAACAGCTAATTTTCTGTTAAAATTAAGTATAATTATGTAAGAGATGAAAGTAAGTCTATAACTGCCAGTTTTAATACATCCAAATCCTGCCTCTAAATACAACAACTCTAAAAATAAACCACTCCATTCCACAAAGCCATCCAGTACAACTGACAGCAACAAAATGCTCATTCTGACATGCACCATCAGAAACGTCTCTAAGATTCGTTAAGGATCGACATTGAAGTTTTTTTTTTTTTACTACAGTGTATATAGGTACTTAAATAGGTACTTCAATAAGTATTTGTACTGTTTTGTTGTTGAATGTTACATGTATATTCAACAAATTATGGTACAGTGTAAGCTCTTCTTTCTGGATGTAGAGGTCTTAAACACTTTAAGAGATTATTTGTTAAGTCAGCAAAATAGATCTGCATAATTGTACACTTAGATGTTATCAAAAAGGTTGTAAGAGAAGGGTCTATCAACAGGATTTTATGGCATCCTTAAATTGACTAACTGGGACCGTTCTCACTAAAGACAGAACATTAATGACATTGTACCTGTAAGTTTTCAGCGATTGTTGTAGAGAAAGATGAATACAAGGATGGCCACCATGAACCAGACCAGAAGCCTCCAGTGTTTTCATTTCTAGCTGCCTATTTTAAAAAAAAAAAAGAGTTCCAAGGAGATTTTAATTAAGTTTCCATTGAATATTTAATATTAATTTGAATCCTTCCCAAAATAAGCTACCAAGTTGATGATTAATTAGTTAATAATTAATATTATTTAAACATTAAATATTTGAATTTAAAGTCAAAAGGTAAAGGAGTGCATCACTCTACTTACAAGCCACTGAGCCTCCAAAGCATCCAAGTGTTTTCTTTTACGAGCCCTTTCACGATCTTTTTCTTCTTCTTCATTGTACTAAAGAAAAAAAATATTAATAATTTATCATCACTTTGAACAACTGGCTTGATTAGGTATTTGCAGGCATTACACTGAATAAATATACTTGTATAAATATTATTATAAGGAAAGCATCCAGCTGTTTTAAGCCCAAAAAGTAGATTAGTTGTCTTCAGTAGTTTCGCCCACACCCTGTTTCCACATGGTTTCCTTTATCCCTTGCTCCCTTCTCTCTCTCTCTCTCCCTCTCTCAGGGAGAGGGCCCTCTCACACAGAGGGCACAGGAACAGAGTACATGTGCATATCTCATGTCTGAATTTTGAACTTTGTCATGTCACAAAGTGCAGTTCAAGAAAATATCTATACTCCAGTCTCCCCCCACAGAAGGGTTGGGAATTTCCTGGAGATGGGGGTCGGGTTCTGTAAGACCAAAAAAAATAAGGAAAATTTATGAAGCTAAATTGGAATTCCCAGAGGGGTGATATAGATATTTTATATGGAACTGCACAATTACAATCTACATGTACTACAGAGCTACTAACAGGAAAATGTGGGAGTTACATGTGAGTCATATATAGTAATACTACGTATACACTGTTATACATTCAAATGTTTCAAACGTGACAAATTCACCACAAACTACTAGGATTGTTTTTGCCAATGTGAGCTATGAATGGAAAGTAATCATAGGATTGTAAATGTTACAAAATAACTTGGTAGAAACACAGCAAGAAAGTAAGTATTCAGTATGTGTGCAAGCTTCCCAAAACTGAACTCTGAATCCCCCCACTGGAGTTGCACCCTGCCTAAGTTCAAATTCTTTACACGATTAAAATCACTGAGCTTTAGGAGGCAAATTCATGATCTAGGCTAATTAATCTATATCTTTTCAGATGTCTTTTTTCTGCATCAACCAAANCGAGGCATTGTTCAGAGCTGCACGCAAAAAAACTGAAAAATCCTGTCATCCTGCGTTGGTGTTCTAAACCCATCAGGGGTCAAATAAAGCTTGGACCATGCATGTTCAAACTAGTTTCTTGTGTATCCCTGACTCTTTCACAGGGGAGGCCCGCCTCATAACCCAGCATTGATTGTGGTTTCTTCACTTTGACATTCCACAAACCACATCAAATTAGCATTGATTTACAACCACTTTTGAACAATGTTACATGCATAGGGGACATCTTTCGACCATCTTTCAACATGCCATCTTTTGACGTGCCATCTCTCAACATGCTATGTAACCTGGCCTATACATGTCAAAAATGTAAGCACAACAGACTCAACACAACTCGACTTTTAGTCATGAAAGATAGATTTATTTGACATCAGAATAACGCTAGGAGTATCAAGAAGTCATTCTGACTGTTTTGAATATCTACATCTTTCAAATATCAAAAACAGTAGTGGCCCAGTTCTACTGAGAGCTGATCATCATTTGAATTATCCCATAAATCAGGAAACATGCTAGGCGCATAATCTTCTTCAGCCATTTGAGGTCAGTAATTACCATTCATTTGTCATTTCTTCCACTAATAACTGGAAAAATTGCCAGTTTGACAGTCAAACGGTCTTTCAGCCATTTACATAGCATGTCAATAGATGGCATGTCCAAAGATGGTCGAAAGATGTCACCTATGCACGTAACACTGAAAGCAGACATGTAATAAAAGCCGTTTAAATGAGAATCTGACATTATTGAAAACAAACAACCAGACAACAGAAAGATAACTTTTTAAAGACACCACTAAATCTGCATCGAGATCTCAGTGAAGTTCGTAAGTTCTAAGTAGTACACTGTATTAGTATAACTGTATTAGGGGCAAAATGGACCAAACAAAAACTTTCAACAAATTAATATCATTTAGTCTTTTGATACTACTCTTTCATTTACAAAACCATCAACGGACAATGAGTGTACAATCAGCTGTCATGGATTTTACAGAACAAACAATGCTTGCCATCTTGAGCCTTGCAATGTAATAACACTTAAGCATGAAAAACTTAACCTGAGGTTAGTCAATAATTTATTAATCACAGCTTCTTTTTTTGCTGTGGTATAAATAAATGCTTTATATTCCCAGATATTTTTCCTTCAGTGAACTACATCTGCATGTATAATGCACATGTAGATGACACCACAACAATGTTCTTGATGAAATGAAGATTAAATATCCATGACCTGCACATGTTGCCAAATTTTTCGATACATTGTAAATGCTTCAGTCAGCTTTTTTTGTTAATTCATGAGAGCAAGTTTGGCAAATGACCACCTTTTGTTAATATTGAATACAATGCAGAAATAAGAAAGCAGCTAAGATATTATAGCTGAATTTGTAAAATTCGAGAATTTATTCAATAAGAATATAATCAAGAACACCCATAATAACTAAAGTTTCTAGATAACCACTTTCCATAAATGATCATGTACAAAACAATATACAAAATTTAATTATTCATTCACTAAACTACATTATCTCGTTCTTAAGTTCTTATTTTATTACTTTTATAAGCACAAGAGATGCTATGAGAATTTCTTGTACTGCGAGTCTTTGTGTACTGTATAGTGATTATATTCTGCTTCCGCTTAACGCAACAAAGTTGAAATCATGATATAAGCTTACATGTCTTAAAAATATAATCTCAGGGCTTGCATACATCGATCACAGCCAGGCGAGAAAAACAGTTACATATCAAGAAGGCATCTTATGGAACAAATACCATTTCGTCTCTAAATACCTTAGGAAATTTCTAAAGGTTAGTAAATCGACTGGTATTTGTTCGTTTAGACACCACGTATTACGCGGTGCAAAGTGAGAAGGTTGTGTACACACACGTCGATGTGTAACGCAAGTATCACGCACAGAATTAAGCGGAAGTTACACATCCAAGCTAGCACGTTTATTCTTTAGCCTGACTTACCATAGCCAATGGAAAGTTGGTCTGTGTTCAGGTTTTCGACATATTCCCCCACGTACGTCCTCAGAACCCATGCGGCCAAACTCTCCAACATGACTTTACAAGTCCCTTAATGAATATTTAAACCGTGATGTTCTTCGAAATACACGTTGCACAACATCTTTGTTGCACTCAATGGTAAGCCTAATAGTATCAATTCTTAAATTTCACATCGCTTTTCAAATCTGGTGAAACGTAGCCGATATTAAAGGGCATTAAACTCTCCACGTTTTCAAAATTACTTCATCTTTGAGATGATTCAATCGTGACACCAAAATATCGCGGGTTCATATTTGCGCTTGCAAAGTCTCATGGGTATTCGTCAAAGATGGCGGAGCAACTTCAAGAGTTTCGAAAATAAAACTTGTTTTATTCGTTGTTTTGACTTTTTTATCATATTGCTATGAGCTGCTAGGGCCGACGATGAAAAGCGTACGAAACGATTAAAGCCTCTTACTCCTACTGAGGGGGTTAGTGAGGTCAGTACATGCTTATCAATACCTTCTGTCAGATCAGAAGCATAGCACTTCGGGACTCTATACCTGTAATTTAAACTTCCTCTCCCCAGTCCTCCGGAAGTCATATGAGCAGCTGCTGTATGAAAACATTATACCTTATGTAGATAGAAAAAGATCAGGTTGATCTCTATTATATTTTGCGGCTTTGATTGAAATATGGTGCTTGTTTATGTGTTGTACTCTCTGGTGATCTTTCAAGGCATTCTCTTTCTCCTGTATTTCACGGGAAAAGGTTACATCATGTCTTTAATGTGGGAATTCGCGTTCATTATCGTCCGGGTTTTCCTTCACGTGTCTATGTCAGGATTCAAGTGGATTTTGCCGTCGCAAAGAAAGAGCCTTCGAAAAGACATCGCGTTGGTGACTGGGGCAGCAAGCGGAATTGGAAGATTGATTGCTCTTCGTTTAGCATCCAAAGGTTTGTGTTACTATTTAAACTTTAATTTAAGTTTATGTTTACTCAATTACAAACTTCAGCTCAATGTATTGAGTCACAGTCGCAATGAAAAAGATCGAATCGGTTCGATCTCCAAAGACTTCAGGTTAAAAATAAGGCCTGCATATAGTTAAAAAATTAAATGGTTTGGGCACCCGTGGGGCTGATCTAAATCACTTCTCTTGTTTCCGATTTTATAAATCTCGTTGATATAAAATGTTGAAAACAGGAAACCACCTCACCGGCAGACGTCTGTCACCTGCTCAGCTGCTTTAAATAGGATAATTATCTTGTGTTATAAAAATGATAAATTTAGATGAAAAACACCTTAGAAAAATATTATTTTGATATTTTCCCCCTTACTTTTTTTAATTTATGTAAATTCAGTTAATATCAAAATTACAGCTGACCAGCAAGAGTGTGGTCAGATATTAAAAGCCCCCAGGGGGGTAGTCAGGTGTACTACTGCCAGTAGTAGAATTCTAATTCAAATGCCTCAGTTTTATTGGCTGCGTCATTGAACTTTATTTAACAATTGTTTAGGAAAGCCAAGATTTTAATAGATTTTTATGAGCTTGGGATTTCATAATTAAGTCCACACTCAAAAGTAAAGTTTCATACTACTTATACATGTACTTCTATGTTGAGAAATAATTGAACATCCTTGTTTCAAGAAAATTTACATACAGCTGTATGCAGTTAGAATTCTATGAAAACAATTAGATTATTCACTCCCGCATATATGTTCTACGAGCTTGCTCATGGAAATCTCAGGCTCATAATCTACAAAACACTCTGCATCATAAAATAATGACTTTGAAAAGTATTTTATCTGATTACCTACACTTAAGCCAAGGCGTCTACAACTGAATTTGTAGCGTAATTGGTAGACATCATCATCAAGGGCTTATGTGCCATTTTCAGACCAGCAATAATATTATTGTAGCTATTATAATTGTGAAGTTCAGCTATGCATCGAACATGTTGCGTTAATCCTCATCTTGATCACTTGATATGTTTGACAGGTTGTAGAATGGTGATATGGGACATCAATAGTGATGGACTAGAAGCTGTAGCAAAGGAGATAGAAGCTGCTAGGGGTGTGGCACATTTTTACAAGTGTAACGTGCGAGATAGGAATGAAATTTACAAGACGGCAAAGAGAGTGAGGGAGGAAGTTGGTGAAGTTTCCCTCTTGGTAAACAATGCTGGCATTGTTACAGGAAAGAAACTACTGGAAACAAAGGATGAAGAGATTTTGGCCACTTTTGATGTAAACTCCCTCGCTCATTTCTGGGTAAGTTCTTAAATGATAGAGGCTTCTTGACCTAAGAGGATAGAGGAGCATAGGGCTCTGTCTCTAGTCTATTAAGACAATCATTTTTCTCACACATTATTTTATTGGAGGTGCATTGAAAAGTTTCAGCATGTCTCTGTGGAATAAATAATTGTTCAGGGCATACTACATGTTCAATCACTCAATTCCCATGAGACCTATTGGATGCTTATTTCATATATCATCATCATCATCATCATCCTTGTTACACCATTTTATAAAACTCTGCAACAAAATGGAAAATTTTGCAAAACATTTACGTTCACTTAACGTAATGTAACTCTTATCCTAAGAGAAAACAATGGTTAAAAAAGGCTAAAAGATCTTTTGAAAAATGATAAAGAAGAAATGGTGGCAGAGCGCAAGCCACCACCCCTCTCCCAAACCGAATAAAAAATTCCACTTTAAAGATGGTTGGTCAACTTAAAATACAACATTAATTTTGCCACCCNCTTTAGGCACGAAATGTATGCAGATCAAGACTATATAGATCCCACTTTGCATGCACTGTGCCTGTGATATTTACATTAGCTGGAAGATATGCAGGCAGCATCCTGGTGGTTTTTAAGTCACTAAATATCACTGCCTTTGTTTGCTCCATACAGACAATCAAAGAATTTCTTCCAAGCATGCTTCAACAGAATCATGGCCACATTGTGAGTATTGCGTCCTTAGCTGGCTGCACTGGTCTTCCTGGTGCAGTAGACTACTGCTCATCAAAGTTTGCAGCCGTTGGTCTGATGGAGTCATTACGTCAAGAAATGGCAAGCCAAGGAAAGACTGGTATTCAGTTCACAACAGTATGCCCTTCACTAATAACTACTGGAATGTTTGAAGGTGTCAAGTTCAGGTAGGTGATGCTTCCCTGTGTAAGAAAAAAAATAATCCAAAGGCACTGATAATTTGAATTTTAGTGGAGAAAATGAAGGATTGAGATGATTAGTCTGGTAATGCACAAAAGAGAAAGACGATGTTAGACAAAGAGAAGGAACGGTAGTCAGAGAAGGAAAGGGGTTGTAGAGGAGAGGCAGGATGAAGACAATGAGGAGGAAGAGAATCAAAGGAAAGGAACAGAGGGAGAAGGAGAAGCAGCTAGGGTAGTGAAGGAGGAAGAAAAGAAGGAGGAAGAGGAGATTAGAAAAAGTAGTACAGTCGAACCTCTCTAATACTGACGCCAAAGGGACAGAGCGAAGTGTCTGTATTAGAGAGGTTAAATTTGTATGAATTTGCTCCCTAAGGCCGAGATTTAGTGTCCATTGTCCATTTTAGATAGGGTCCGCATTATAGAGGTTTCTTTTAGAGGAAAAAATGTAAAAAATATGTGAAATATATAAATATGTAATTTGTTTACCCACAGAGGAAATGTATGAGAATGTTGTTGGTACATAGGAAACAGTCCATATTAGAGAGGTGTCTGTATGGAGAGGTTCGACTGTACAAAAAAAAAATGTGGCAAGGGAAAGAGAGATGATGAGAAGGAGGAGGCAGTGGCAGCAGCAGTTGCGGAGACAGTGGTGGCGGCAGTGGCAATGGCAGTGGTGAGGAGTAGGAGAAGGCAAAGGAGGAGGAGGAACAGAAGGCAGGGTGGTAAAGGAGGAAGGAAGGGGAGGTAGTATACAAAACGGACGATTTGTTGAAGAGAGAAACAAGGATGGGGAAGAGGCAAGTAGACTTAAGAGGGGTGGTGGAAGAGGAGGAAGAGGGGTGGAGAAGGAAAATTAGAGAGAGGAAGAATAGAAATTTAGTCAGCATGGATCAAGAGGAAGGACAAGACCAAGAATGGGAGATGGGCAAGTAGGTGATTGGGGGAGAGGAATAAGGAATGGTTGTATAAGGGTAGAGGAAGGGGGAGGAGGAGAGGGGGTGAAATACTGTGGTATGATGTAGATGACGTGAGAAAGAGAGGGAAAGGGTAGATGAAGAATTGATTAAGAGGATAAGTGGTGGAGTATATCGTAAACTTTACTAATGATTAATCAAAGAAGAACTTTAAAAATAGACGATTGAACCGGTTAAGACATATCAGAGGTTTAAAAAACGTTGTTTGGTTATTTAAAATAGTTTAAATTACAAGATATGCGGATCTATGCAGATTGCAGACTTAAATCTCCAAATAGTAGCTGCTTCCTGCTGATCTGTACACATCTGTTCACAAAGTTTATTTCAAGGTTTATTAACTAATCATTATGTTTTCTAGGTTTCCTCATTTGCTGGGATTTGGTGTGCTAACTCCACAGTATGCAGCATCAAAGATTGTTGATGCCATAGAAAAGAACCAGACCTTCCTTATGATGCCTAGAGGAGCATATTTCTCAAAAGCCTTGCAAGAGTAAGTTCAGCGATTCTACACATAAATGCAATAATGAGTTTGTCTCGAACATGGGTAGGTTTTGACAATTCCTCTTAAAATCCCAAAAAGGCATGTTCAAACCCTGTATGTTGTTGCAGAGGCGCGTTGGTTTAAGGTTAGCCATTTGGACTCTAGCTTGCTAGCACTGACAGTCAGAGGTTGTTGTGTTGTCTTCTTGTCACATAACTCCCAGCGCCTTTCTCTACCGAAGAGTATAAATGTTGCTTCCCAATTCTGTTGACTTAGCAGTATCAAAATGTTAAACTCTCGTGAGCTTTCGGAGCCGTCATGGCGCTTTCAGTTTCCCAGTGATGAAATACGTCAAATTCGATCAAATGTCAGGTGAACCCCTGGGGAGATAAGCGTCTTTGGCCCGTCTGCACTACGCCGGAGAAATTTGAAAACGCAGCATTATGTCTACAGCTAGGCCTGCCGTCCACACTAATCCGTCACGAAAATGGAGCTCTTTGAAAACGCTCTTCAAACCGGCGGAATTTGAAAACGCTGGCTTTTCGTGAAACATTTTGATAACGGAGCATTTCGAAAACGATGACGTCACGATAATCATATCATGTGATTTCCCTGACCGAGTTTTCCTGAAACACAAATTCAAGATGGCCGGTGATTGTTGCGTTTTCAAATTCCTCTGGCCTAGTGTGGACGGGACCTTGCTTCTCCAGATAATGTCATCAAAAC